CTCTCTCTCTCTCTCTATATATATATATATATATATATATATATATATATATATATATATATCTACTAAGTATGTTCTTAAGGAATTTTTAAAACTATAAATAACTTATTTAGCCCATTGATTGCAGCTGCTCTAAATATTAAATGTAATGGTGATATACAGCACACTCACATTCAACTGCCAGATGAGACCATACCTTATATGGTAAATCAGTAGTAAATGGGGCAAAAACAAAATATACAAGTTTTCATAGTATTACTTTAGATAATTATTATGTCAAGATACTAATAATAGAGAATGAACTGTGTTATTTCGATTTATCATGTTTTACATACAAAGGTGAAGTATCTGAAATTTCATAAATGTTTTTCATAGTCAGGTTTGACAAAGTACTATCTTGTAATATTTGAATTTGGTGCTTTATAAGCACTAAATAGTTATTAAGAAACTACTTAAAGAGTATGAGTGTCTAACAAACTTTATTATTCATAGGTATCATCTTCAGAAGATGGTGCAGAAAGAGAGGTATTGAGTGTGAAGAAGCATTTACCTCTAACACGAAGAGGAAAGTCATCTTCAGGGGAGTCCGACTCCGAACGAGCTCGGTGTAAGATGAGGAGAGTAGTCAAATGCAACATGGTTAACAAGGATGAAAAAAAAACTGAAAGACTATCAGAAAAAGACCTGCAAGAGGACACTGTCTCATTTTCTATTACATATTCCTTGCTGAAATCTGATGGTTGTTCTAGTAAATCTCCATCAGATAAAGCTGAGGTACATACATACCTTGTAGTTTCTTTATCTTCATTGGAAAAGGCTAAGTTATACACCTAGTAGTTCCTACATATCTATCAGAAAAAGCTGAGTAATTACTTTGTAGTTTTCTCCATTTTGAGAGCTACTATGGAGGTTAATATAATTAAGAGGTGATTTGTTAGTATAATTTATTTATTTTTTTTATGAGATATTTTTGAAAACTGTTATTTTGTATGTGTTATGTTGCTGATTGTCAGGGTTCTATCACATTCTGTCATCATCCCTGTACACCTACATACAAGAAGGCTGATTGTAACATGCTCTTTCTTGGAGGAATTAGTAATATTCATTTTATAAGTGTAATTCCTTATTGGAAATTAATTTGTGAAGATTTTGCCTTCTAAGAAAGTTCTAGTAGAAATCTGCTCATTTATAATTAGTATACAATAAGTGTGTTAGTTTATTAGCAAATGAAAATTAACTTTATTTTCTATAAATGAGTGTAACCAAATTGTAAAGTTTTTTTTTTTATTTTAGTTCTACAGTTTCCCTGTTCTGTACATTTGTTTATTGATAAGATTATTTTGTAACTTCAAACCTTTTCATTCTGCCATCATTAGTAAGTTTACATTTAATATTGTTTTTTAGGAAATGGAAGTGGAAACAAAAGAAGAATCAAAGACACCTTTTCATCCAGTGCGTGGTGACCCACCTTGGATGGAAGGGATTGATAAGGGCCCAGACTTGGTGTTTCGCTACCAGCTTCCTATCAGAAATGTAGAGGATGTACTGAAAAAGGACTTGGAAATCCTGCAAAATATGAAACAACCAGAATTAGTCAACAAACAGTTAGCTCAGCTACAATCAGAGCTTGAACAGGAAAATCAAATTGAAACATGCTGTTATTCTGATGAAAAGACTAGCTCTAAACTAAATCTTGAGTTTTCTATTTTAGAAGAAGACCTAGAAAAGGTATAAAAAAGTCACTAGTAGTAAATCATTTGGTACACTAGTACTTAATTTTTTTTTTTGGTATTAACATCATGTATAAATTTCTTTATCCTATACTAGTTCTTAAGAATAATCTATTTACAATTTCCAAAATAATTTCCCACAAGACAGGTTACTTTATATTTATATTTTCATTCTGTATATTTTCTTTTCAGTAATTTTTTGTTGTGTTTTTTTTTTCAACTAATGATATTTTATTACCATATAGGACACAGAAAGTCAATTGGAAGCAATGCTTCAACTTTTGGCAGAGGATATGTAGGAAACAAACTACTCGTGCTTACATTTTGACTCAACAGAAAACTAAAAAATATAACAGTAGAACCCCAGAAATCAAAAGAGAAGATAGGATGCTTTCTAAGTGTGCATTAGAGTAATGTTTGAAATGCTGAAAGTTTTTCAAACTATACAGTGTGTGAACATTATGATATGAAAGCATTGAAGGATTTTTTTGTGTTTATTTGAAACCATACCTTGTAGTTTACTGATACTGTGAAGTAGACTTTCTTGGAAACTATTTCAAATAATGAAAGAAAATGGGGTTGGCACACATGGGAACATGGCACAGAAATTTTATACATTGGTTCAATATTTTACATATGTCATGTGATCAGCTAAATAGTCTGCTATCTGAACTTATACTCTTTTCTTTTGTACATGGGCATTGTTAATGTGTGAAATTAAATAGACCATGTTTAAGGAAAATTAAAACAAAATACTTGTGTTTCCAAGCAATTCCTATTCACATCTTGTGCAAGTATAGTTCAAACATGTTATTTGAGTTAGTGTGAAGTTTTACTTTCATTTTGTCATGTATAAATTTAGCTTTCAGGGCTTAAGAAAGTACAGCTACAGTTGTAAGTATGTTAAAGTGTATTTTAAACATATTTCCTTTTTAAATGATAACATGTACTTCCATATGTTAAACATAGATTACATTTTTAAAGGTACTCTGTTAAATAAAGCTTTATTTAAGAAATATTATAAACAAATGTAAAAATCTTGTACATTTACAAAATATTTAATGATTCTATAAAGTTAATCATAATCTAAACAATTTTTCTATGAATTTCTGGATATCTTTTACCATGAATATGTACGTAGTGTAACAAGAAAAATTTACACCACATAGATTTCTTACACTGCTTGAACATAGTTTTAGTTTTTTATTCCAGTCACTTTACTGCTACTGTAAGCAAACCTTTAGATAAACACTTGAAGAAAATGTGGTTACCATTATTTTGGACCCCTTGTCAACTACATGCTTTTCATAACAGACTTAATATTGAGTGGACAAATGGGAAGATGATTGTTCTTGCAAAAATTGAAATCATATTTGAGCACTGATCTTATCAAACTTTATTATAACTTTGATTTTCTGGCTTACAGAATGGTTTGTGTCTTGTATTCTGTTATTCATCTCTAAACCAGACACTTAAAATTGGTAAGGTTATTAGTAACTACACTGTATCATTATGGTCTCAAGAAAAGAAATCATCACATTAAAAATGTAATTTTCAGGTAACATTTAACTTTACTTTTTCAAATAATTGCTTGAATAAAGGTTAAGATATGGTATTGTATGCTGTTTAAATAAAGGTTAAGATAATTTATTATATGCTGTAGTGTTTAAATAATGGATAAGATACAGTAATTTATTCTGTAGTGTTCATATAAAGGTAAGTTACAATATTGTGTACTGTAATATTCAAATAAAGGTTATGATACAATATTGTATTCCACAATACCATAGTGTTGCATTTTTTTTCTCAACATGGAATCAATCTGGAGTACACTATTCAGTGTCTGCACATTAATAAATGTTACAGTCACTTTTTAAGAGCAGCACATGTTTCTTGTTGATGTTTTTGATGTGGATTTAGTTTGTTTTTTTTACGATTTCTAACCAGATGAAACTATCCTTTCTAAGTAGGAACTGTTGTAAGGTTTAATCATCATAAACAAACAATAATCTGTATTTTTATGTTGTGCTCTTCCTGGATTAAGAACTAAAAAACTAAAAAGGCACTCAGGAAGTGGTACGTTTTTACTTTTGCAGTAACCAACCTAAAATATACATTAGATAATTCCTCACCTTCAAAAATCTAGGTCTAAATACCAAGATCTTCATTCATTCTCAATTTGTTTTGGAGTTTTGACATCCTTTTTCAAAATTCTTATTGTTTTAACATTATAATGAAAATGGTTGATCATAATCAGTGAGTGAAATTTGTTAGATCTTTATTATCTCATTAAATGTTAAATTTTATGTTTAGTAACTTGTTAAAATGTGTACAAATACTGTGTATTTATGCAAATTTTGGATATTATACAAATCCATATAATAACAAGAGAAGTAATGAACTTCAGTATCTTGTTTTATTACCAAAATATTACACCACAACAGTGACTCAACCTTCTAAATTTATGATGTGGAATCTAGAACTGTTTCTCTTTTTGCTATGAAGTTAGTTTTTATTTTATATTTAATCATATTATATGCTTTCTTTATGATTTTGCTGAACCACAAAGCTGTATACTAGTGTTTTTGAAAAAAAAAATATTATCTTTTTGTCTTTCCTCGTATGAAGTGGCACAGTGGTATGTCTGTGGACTTACAACGTTAGAATCCGGGTTTCGGGTTTCGATACATGTGGTTGACAGAGCACAGACAGGTCATTCTTTAGGTTTGTACTTAATTACAAATAAACATCCTCATATGAAAATGTCTACTTGATATGGGTTGTTTACTCATAATATTGTGAATTGAAAATAAATGTTCATGAATACTAATAAATTTATATCTGTCGTCTAGAGATTTTTCTCAGAGCAGAGCAAGCTTGTAAGTTCACATGCATGTTAACTCGTGCTAACTTATGCACACACACACACACATACTCTTCAAGCTAAAAAAGCCAGTTCCACCTAGTAAATACGTTAAGTCGTTTTTTAAGTGAAAGCCTGACAAGTATTTAAAATGTACGATTTAAAATGATAAACATCCAACAAACATTGTAATATTAATACAACTCTCAAACAAGATTTGGAAATAAGTCGTGTTTTAGATACAATTTGTACTTAAATCGTAAACTAGAAATGTTTTAAATATTCTTGTAATAAAAAGCAGACATCATACTTACGATTATTTTCTCAATACGTTTAGCTTTTTCATTTTTCAGTCAGAAAAATTAAGTTACTCAGTCAATTTAGCATTTGAATGTGCAAATCGCAAAATAAATAAAATTTAATAAGTAGAAACAATATAACTGGGAGTATTAAATGTTACATTTCAGTACCTTTTCAGCCAAATAAGTGAGCAACGAACTATTGACACTTGTCAGGATTTGTTTGGCATGTTTTTAAATTTCGCGCAACGGGTTATCTGTGCTAGCTGTCCCTAATTTAGCAGTGATAGACTAGAGGGAAAGCAACTAGTTAACGCCACATACTGACAACTCTTGGGCTACTCTTTTACCAACGAATGGTGGGATTAACCATCAGATTATAACGCTCCACGGCTGAAAGGGCGAGTATGTTCGGTGACAGGAATTCGAACCCCCGATCCTCAGATTGCGAGTCGAGTGCTTTAATCACCAAGCTGTCACTTATTAGGATCTCCCCACTTAATACGTTTGTAGAAATATTTTTATATTCAAAGTAAATTGATGCAGAGGTGTAATCATTTAATGAAAGGCTGAGAGAGCAATTATCTCTGACCTTCGAAAGGGATTGCTAGTGAAAACCTGTGTAGCATGAGCGTCGTTATTAATAGATATTGTTTCTTTGATTAGCTGTTCAAATACATATGTTTTCAGGTGCTATCAAAAGTAGCAATTGAAGGTATATATATATATATATATATATATATATATGCCACTAGGAATCTTACTACCAA